TTTTTCGAAAGTAGTGGAGCGAAAGGGCGAGAGATGGAGCAAAAGGTTCGATGTTGAGCGCAAGGCGATATTAATTTGACGTATAAGGAGGAGCGTAGTCAATGATTTTTATAAATAAAAGCTATGGAAGTTAAAATAGACATGATCAAGTTTTAAGACCGAGATATATATATATACCTTTTAAAGAGAACTAATAAATTGTGATATCCTTTCAACGACTATATCGTTTTGTTTCTGTTCTGCACCTTGAATATCTAACTTTTCGAAAAACATAACATTTTGGCGTGAACAATTGAGTTACACGTACCTGCTCGGAAACATTTGTTTGCCGTAGAACTAAAAATATTCGATTTTGTCGCATTTGCTCGGACACACGTTTTAAAAAGTACATCACCGGGTCAAAAATCATGATTGACCTCGATTAAGTGGCATCCTGTATTATGCGATGCATACATGTGTATGATTCAATGGTCGGGCCTCATCCAAAACATTTATAAAGGAATCTACACGGAAGCCATAGGTGACACCTTCGCGATTATATTTATTACGCTATAGTCGTTGAAAGGATATCACACTTTATTAGTTGTCTTCAAAATGTATATATATCGGTCTAACCACGTGATCAAGTCTATTTTAACTTCCATAGCTTATATATGTAAAAAATCATAGACTACGCTCCTCCTAATACGTCAAATTAATATCGCCTTGCGCTCAACATCGAACCTTTTGCTCCATCTCTTGCCCTTTCGCTCAACTACTTTCGAAAAATATCGGTTTACAAATTTAAGAAATCCTTCAGGAGTAATTTATTTTGCACGAAGGACAAGTTCTTATTACGGGTTGATAATTTACTAATACGCTTTTTCAAGAAATCCGAAAGGTATGGCATTTCTTTGGGTTGGGAAGTTTCAATATTCTACAAATCATCGTTCGCTTCGTCAGGGAGAAAAGTTCTTCCTTGCGCTTAATATAATTTTCTTTTTATAACAGCTTAAGATAATTCGAAGCCTAAAATCAATCCTACACGGAAACTACATTTTCCGTTTTTTTTATTTAAAATAACAAGACAAAAACATAAACAAATACAATTAGGCGTTTAAATCGGGCCCTTTCGCTCTAACTCGGAAATGCCGTTCGCTCGTTTTACCGTACACCCACAATTTTTGAAGTGGAGCGAACAGTTTGCCAGGCGTGTTTCACTTCCCAGTGTTGTTATATTTTTCTCGTCCTTCGGGATCATTGATACCAAAACACTATAAAGTGTTGAGAAAAATTGAGGAGAATTGAGGATTGAGTATCGCTCAAAGCCGGTTGCTAGGGGGCGTGAGGGATGTTGCACTTATCCATTATCCCTCATGTAAAGACTCAATCAAACGAGTCTGCAATTCTTATGTTATTTTTGTTGTGATTAATGCTTCCGAGGGATCACTTTGTTTTCAGAATTTTGTACTTCACAACAGCAGGTGTCAAGTGCTGTGTGGGAGCCGTAAAAAGTTGCCCCGTACTTCAATTAAAAAAAATTTTTTAGTGTTGTTATATTTTCTGGTCCTTCGGCGATCATTGACGCCAACACTATAAAGTGTTGAGAATTGAGTACCGCTCAAGGCCCGGTGCTAGCGGGCGTTGAGGGATGTTGCACTTTTCATTATCCCTCATGTACAGACTCAATCAAACCGAGTCTGCAATTCTTATGTTATTTTTGTTGTGATTAATGCTTTCCGAGGGATCAACTTGTTTTCCAGAATTTTATTATGGGTTCGCAATTGCGTCTCCTGTAGTTTAAAAGTTACAGTTAGATAGCTTTCAAAAACAGTGTTTCCGACAACCTGAAAATTGTTGAATAAAAGTGGTTAATTATCTTACCAGGAAAAAGCATGGGCCTATTGTACAAAAATGAAGGCTATGCGCATAGGGTTTCCATACAACATATATTAAAGAAACAAAATGATTGACATGAACCTACGCAACAAACTTATGTCACGGAAGAATTTAAAGAGGAGATAAAAATGTCGCAGTAGATTTAGGTAGGGATGGAGACCGAGAAGCTGGAAGTTCGGCTACACATTTGAGATTTGGAGGCTTAACCACCGCGCCTTGCCGATGAAGATCACCCGTTCCCCACATTAACCCCCAAATACCACACTTAGGAGCCCCTTAAAAAAGTAACAACCATGAGGGCCCCACAACACGCAGATGAACTTTCCGGGAACCGAAAATAATAGCCCATCGGCTAAAAAAAATAAGGACATTTCAATTTAGTCTGGGATCACAGTTTCATTTTAAATTCCCAAGGGTTAAATTTTCCAAATTTTACTTTAACATTTTGGAAAATGGCCAAAACTTTTGGGGGCTGTTACCCAGTCAATTTTTAACCAAAAACAAACATTCACCCTCCGGGGCAGAAATTTTTCTATCTGAAAAAACCCATTTGTCCCAAAAATTTCTGCCCCGTGTGGTTGATTTGGGTTTTAATGTTTAACCCCCCAATTTGGGGGAAAATATTTTAGAAGCCCATAAAATTTTCGGTCACACAAGTTTTTAAAAAGCTACAAAGCCCCAAGGTTTGCTGGAGTATTACTAGACCAACTTCTTCCCAACTGTTTTCCAGTCTGGGAAAAGATGGAGGCAATTATCGTGGTCTACAGTCCCTAGGTCAAGTTCAACGAGCCTTTTGAATTTAGTCATTTACCCCGGTCATACGATGAAAAAAATTCTTGCGGGATCAAGCGGAAACATACACGCGAGTATGGCGGAAGTGGAATTGTCACTTCCGGAACTTGGAAGAGCGTTAAAGGTGGAGATCAATATAATTAGACTTCAGGCCAGCCAACACAACTACATAATGAACATTTGGGCCAACTGCAATCTTCCTTACAAGCCACAAAAATCAACACAAAAGAAAATAAATGTATTCAGCAGCATACAAGAAAGACAAAATACCCCAAACGCCCCCCAAATTTCCATTTCTGCAGTGAATAACATTTTGCAATTGACTGTAAAACATCATAAATCCTAAGGAGAGAAAAGCCATTATTCATCGCGAGAAACTATGTTTCAACTGTTTAGACAAACACACTGTTGCTTCCTGTCGCTCAAAGCACCGGTGTAGAAACTGCATCCGGAAACACCACACCAGCATTTGTGATCAGAGTATCGGAAGCTCACTGAACACAGAGACTTGCATAATTATCAGAAGAGCGTCCCGTGCACTCTATCCCACATCACGGAGTAAAGAAACCGTCGGCCACCACCTCTATCCGTATTGTGTTTGACTGTAGTTGTCAAAACAAAAATTCACCGAGTCTAAATGATTGCCTTTAATCAACCCCTCCTGAGATCAACGAAGTGACAAGTATCTTAATAAACTTCAGGAAGCACAGATATGCCGCCTGCACATATATTGAGAAGGCTTTTCTTCAAATACAACTCAACGAGAATGATCTTCACACGATTTCTAGGGTTGAACGACATTTATGATCCAAATACAGATCTTACAACATACAATATGGTGCTTTTTCAAGTTCGTGCTTTTTGGTGCCACATGTTCACCATTTATACTTCATGCCACTTTAACTAAGCGTCTGAGTGCCAATGATCATAATTGGGTGAGTGCAAGAAAGACTTATATGTTGATAACGTGATTTCTACATTTTCTGACGAGAGTACTTCCTGAACACACGCAAATTAATGACATCTGCTGGTTTTAATTTACGGTCCTGGAGCTCTAACAACAGTTCTCTGCGCAGCCTAGCGGAAGCTAAGAAGAAGTAGAAACTAGAGAAATAACTAACATCCTTGGAATGAAATTGGACCCGATATCAGACCAGATTTGTTTAGCACAGAAAACCATTTTTACTTGTTCCCATTTTATAACAATTTATGACCCCCTTGGGATCCTGACCCCACTCACAATTCGTGCAAAAATCCTACTTCAAGATATTTGGAAGCAAAAGTTCGAGTGGGACACGTCCCTACCAGATGACATACAGACCCAGTGGTTAAACTTTGCTAAAGACTTAAACAGTGTAATCCCTACCAGATAGCCGAGAAGTTACTTCAAGAAAACTCTTTGGCATTAACTTCCGGTATAGGGGACAGTCCTGCCAGCGCATCCTCAGATATTCATCTTCATGAGTTTTGTGACGCCAGCCTTTAAACCTATGGATCAGTAATATACATTACATGTGGTGACCAGTCTGCACGTGTTATATCAAGGACGCGTGTCGCATCATTGATGCTTCTGACATTACCAAGGCTTGAACTTATAGGTGCAGTGATTGGTTCAAGACTTCTGCAGCACATACTACAGACGATATCTACAGCATCCGTATACATGTTGTCTGACAGTCAAATTGTTCTTCACTGGCTGTCATCCAACCGGAAGTTAAAAACATTTGAAGAGAATAGAGTGACTGAAATACACTTACAGAGAACAGAAGGTGAATGTACTGTCCCACTGAGCACAATCCGACTGACATGCTGACAAGAGGAATTACAGCTACTGAATTTCTGAAGAGTATATTATGGGAATAAGGTCCTGATTGGTTAACTGATGAAGTCGGTACCAGAGCCAACCAGCTGTTGTAACAACTGCTTTACTCGCAGAAGAACAATATGATAATTGCCATATCTGCTTCAGGCAAACCACCATCTGACGAAACTTATAATTAAAGCTGCCCATGAAAGACGCTTACACGCAGGCACGAGTGAACTTATTACCCATATGCGCCAGAAATACTGGATTCCGTCGATACGCCAGTGTATTCAGAAATTACACCGGAAGTGTTACCAGTGCCGCCGAGTGTTAGGAAAACCGTACACAGCGTAAGATCCACCACCTTTGCCAAAGATACGAGTTCAAGATACACAACCTTTTACTGTGACTGGAGTTGATTTCACCGGAGCTTTACTTTTACAAGAAAACCAAAAATGAGGAGGCATACATTTGTATTTTTATTTGTGTTTCGACCAGAGCTGTTCATCTAGAAGTATTCTCAGATATGACTAAATCTTCATTTTTACAAGCGTTTGGACTATTCAGTAGCAGAAAATCTCTACCAAAGGTTATGATATCTGATAACGGAACAACTTTTCAAGCAGCAGCAAATACAATACGCAAATTAATGAATTTTACTACTGTAATAGACACGTTACACAACCATGGTACAGAGTGGAGATTTATACCCAAAGCGCGCTCTCTGGTTTGGTGGTTGGTAGGAATGATTAATCGGTCTTACAAAACAGCTATCAAGAAGGTTCTTGGTAATGCATACGTAACTTATGATACACTCAAAACAATCGTAACAGAGGTAGAAAGCGTCATGAATGACCGTCCACTGACTAACGTTACGTCAGAGTCAACCGACCCAGAACCATTTACACCAGTTCATTTGCTATACGGACGTTTGACAACCGTGCCTTACTATGAAAATATATCCGAACCGAAACCAGTTTCAAGAGATGGGATCACCAAACAAGCGAGTATACAAGCACAGATCATTAGCCATGTCCGGGATAGATGGTGCCACGAGTACATGACGTCATTACGCCAGTATCACAAAACTACGGGAAACAATAGCCAAACGATTAAGGTCGGCGATGTAGTAATAATTCATGATGAAACCCTAAAAACACAGTGGAAATTAGGAACTTTTAAACAACTGATCACTAGTAAAGATGGAGTGACACGAGCGGCCATGGTTCGCACCAGTAACGGGCACACTACATCAAGACCAATTGTAAAGCTGTTCCCCCTTGAGACTATGTAACAATTGCCATATTTTGCGCTTTGGAGGATGTCATAAAGACGACATGACGTTAGCGGGAACGACAGGCAGCCAACGTGACGTTGGCGGGAAGAGTTCATACGACTTCATTTCCGTTGTATTGTTATTTTACAGTTATTTTAGACACAACGCAAAGTAGTTGCTTCTCATTTCACTGACCACTTTTTTTCACCCTATTTATCATCTAGAGCCGACAATAATCGATAAGAACCTATTTACTGCAAATAAACACATACAAATTTTATTTATGATTTGTAATACAGTAGGATACATTTTTTTATTTGGTAAGTGTTTTTTTTTAAAACTTTTTTGCCAAACCGGTAATCATGAATTCGTTTAAAAGTTACTCTCATTGGCAAATTTATATAATTTTATAAAACTTCTTATATGGCTTCATCTATCAACACTATCTTCAATGTCGATAATGCAGTCATTACACACTCATCAGAATTACATAATAAACTGTACATTCAGCTTCAAACGTATAAATCATATATCTGGAATTCACTACAGAAATATCACATTATCATATGTCTCTGCTATTAAGCATCCAATGATTTTCCACACATGTCTGAGTACAAACTGTAGCTCTTTGGCTGAATACCTTTTTTCAAAGAATATCATTCCTTCGCTTCTTTGCGTATATTGACAAAGAGAAACAACACGACGTTTATTCTCGACTGTTCTCTTTATAAAAACATAGACCTAAGTTGATAAACTGTATAAGCACATACTGTTTCATTAAATATCATACGTTTTGGAAACATGGCACTAACAGACTCAGATAATGAGTGTGCATTTCACAAATATATTGGAAATTCGAATCGCTTTGATACAACAATTATCAACTTTTTTTAAGGGTTAAATTACATGTCATATTTTCTGTTGTTGTTTTTTCCTTCTTTTTATCTATCTCAATCTTCTTTCTATCTGAACTCATCAAACTATTATCGTTATTAGTTTTATTTTGTTTTTTCTTATAAATAATTGACTTATATTTATTTATTCCATTTTCAATGTAAGTTGCACTGCAGCCGACATTTTTCGCCTTATTTTGCACATATATTTATTGTACATTGGAAAAAGACATTTAAATAAGCATTAGGTTGCTCCAAGTCTAATCCCTTTCGTGTATTGATTGTAAATATCATGTATGTAAATATACTTATGTTGCGAGTAAAATTTGTTTAAACCAAGTGTTATTTTAATATATATTGAAAATTGAATATTTGGATACTGAAATAAAAACGAAGCCAGAGAGAAACGCATATACTGTAATGTTGATACCGACACGAAGCGACGTGTAGCTTTTCATATGAATCAGTTGCAAAATTTGTTTTGAAAATATCTTGTGAAAATCCACTTTATTTGAAGTCATAGTTCACTTTTTCATTGAATTAGTTGCATGAATATTTATGACTGCTGACAAGAAAAACAACAACAGAGATCCTGTGACGACAAGAAACTTTGAGGACAAGCTATAGAAAGACCATATAACACATTTTTGTATTTATTAACTATGTAGGTCATTTAATAGATGTTAGATAATATTTATTTGTCTATTCATTTATTCCTTGTTAAAATAAATTTAACGGAATGACTACTGACAAGAAAATCTGAAGTTTCGCGCAGTGATATTTACCGACAAGAATTTTTTAGATTCTGCTTTAGAAATGTAGGCAGTGGTTAAAACAAGATTGATATTTTCCCAGGGATATTTGTTATATTAGATTCAAACATCTGAATACCTTTATATGGATATAAATTTTAATATCTATGATAAATATCAAAAAATCATTTTTTATAAATCATACAGAAAATATATACAGGAATCTGCTGATGAATTTTGTTTTTCTTCTTTCAGAAAATGCATGGTTCGATTTCAATACCGACAAGGACGAATTTACAGAAAATGAACGTTTGTGCATAGGTGAGTTCATGAAGTACAATAGAAATGTTTGGCTTGACTTTCATTTTGACTCTTCAAGTCAAGTCAAAAAAGTCAAGTCATTGTAATAAGTATTATGTTAAGAGAGGCTTTTGAACTGTACAATGTATATATAATTAAGTAGTAAAATAAGTCTTAAAAAGCATGTGTTCTTATTTAGGAAATAGATATCAATTCTGAGTGCATTGTTGTAGAATAATGCACGGTTTGAGTTCAAATGCGTAGTAATATAATCACGAAGGCCGACGAAGAATTAATATCTATTTCCATTCTAACACGTCAAGAAAAAATATTATTATTATTATAAAGTTGGACTTTATGTTTGGTGGTTTAACTTGATCTGCCTGGAGTTTCCATGAGAACGTTCTTTAAAAGGCTGTTCCTTGGGTTGAAAAAAAAAAACTGTCGTTAAATCTACCGTGTGTAGAAACCATTTTAAGATAACGAATTTTGAAAAGCGTTGATAAACTGTGTGTGTTTATTTTATTTTTTCACTCTATAATTTTTCAAAGCGAAAATACAAATTATTAAAAGTGAAATAAATGTAAAACTTAACTCGTTTGCGACATTAAAATAGCCTACTTTGTTTGATTGTTTTGCACGTGCTGTTTGGCGCTACATTGTGACGTCACGTAAACAACACTTTAAACGTCTGTACAGCGTTAACGACTGAATTAAAGATATTGGTGTTCGGATTCATTTTCTTAGTTAGAACATTTTCTTTCATTTAAGATAGTTTTCAAACAACATTCGACAAAAATTGTTTTTAATTTTTCAGATTTTTAAACAAAATGGCGCCCTCAATGTAAAATACACAGGGAGATAATAAGAACGGCGAGTGCATTGTTGTAGAATAATGCACGTTTCCGGCCTTCTTTGTTTATATAGAAAAAATTCCGATAGTGTTAGAATATGTATTTAACCATAGTTCGGTTAACAATATATCAAAGCTACAAATTGTTAAATTTCTTAGTAAATGGGTTACCACAGTACAGCACGGAGAGTCACATAATTTTGATACTCTCTTAGGGCATAACTTCGCAACTTGATAATAAACAGATTACAAATATTCAAGTAATTAATGAAACATTGAAGTCATAAATCTATAGAAGACGAAATATTAGAGAACGAAAAATTACTGTCAAAATGCAAAATAAAATTTCTATAAAACGAATATGTAATAACTAACTTAACTGCATTACGATCTTGATCTTCTGAAATAACAAAACAAGAAAAGAAAAAATTACTTTGCGCAAGCTTAAAATTTACACCACAAAAAAAAATTGTCTGTCATAATGACCTTGTGCACAGGCATTCGAATTTTGCGTGTATCAGATGCTACTGACGGTTGTGAGTGGTCCAACTTAATGTATTTAGTAATATTAATTAGTAAATTCAAGTGATTTTGACCCATACTCAGCTGACATACATGTATTAGTTATGTTTACGTATCGAGATTGCTGTGCCGCAATTCTGTCTACCAAGGATTTTTAGCACGAATTCGCTCGTTTCCTGATAGATAGTTTCATGAACGGGAAGGGCTAGAGACTTGGGGTTGGTCTCATTTTGAAGCTTAAATAAAACGTGAAATAGTGATAAAAGTTTCTTTAATTGTCTTGCAATTTGTTTTCAACAACGGCCCCGGGAAATGAAATCCTTGCTCGTAGGCTCGAATCGTGGAGTTTCCGGCCTTCTTCTTAAGCTTATAAAGTATATTTTAAAGGGGGTCATTATTTACATTTTTTTTTTGGTTTTGTTTTTGACACTTTTTAAGATGACACAGGTTTTTTTTATCAATCTGGTAATATGTTTTTCTTCCAGGTCCCGATACTCGTGCTGTTGGAGCCTTGTGCGTCTTTACACGTCTAAATTGTAGTCCAAAAGAAGATTTGAAATCGTTCAATATATATGCATAGCGTACACTGAGCAGAAAGAGTGAAAATAACTTTCACGATTTTCTTGCATCCAAAACGCATATATAACAAAATATAGCAGGCCCGCATTTATTAATAATCATATTATAGACCATAATAAATTTGCACTTTAATCAACTTTCCTATAACAGGAGGCGAATTTTATGAAGAAATATGTCAAAGATGCTTGGAATGATACCCAGAAATAATTAAGCAAAAATAATGAATACTGAAATAAGTAATTTACTCGATAACATATATTTTTTTTTATTATAAAAGATGATGCCGTAATTTACATCGGATTTAGTATAAAACTGAGTTCGGATAATAAAATACTACAAAATCAAGTACTGAAACACTTACTGAGTCGTCATTCACAAAATGGTTTAACTTTGTGACAATGGACGCCCCCTTTAAAAAAGAAAATTGTAAAATTTTCTTTAAACATCACAAAGTGAAAATTATTTATTGAAACTGACATGTAATACAGCACTGCACACTATATATATTAAAACCACCTTTATACTGCTAAAAATACTGTCTTAACTACACTACCTCCGGTTGAAACATTAAATAATCAGCTCCTACATTTTTTCTACCTAGAATGGCTCTGATTCTCATTCTATATAGTTGCAAAAGCAACGACCATCTCATTATTCTTGAAGTATTTAATCTTGCCTTATTTGGATTAGTGAGAGGTTGGTGATCAGTCTACAGGATAAATTCCTTACCAAGTACCTGTGAAATTTAGATATAGACCATACGATTCCTAAACATTCTTTTTATATTACAGAGTACATTTGTTCTCTTGGTAACAATTTCCTTCTAGCATAACCTACTGGGAATTTCTCCTCACCTTGTTCCGGAAGTTAAAAATGGCCCTTATCCAGTACCGGATGCATCTACTCCTATAATGAAAACGCTATCTTAATTTGGCAATTTTAAAATCGGCGGACTTGTTAAACTAGCCTTAAGAGTTTGGAAAGCCCTTTCTTGACTTTCTTCCCACTCTACATGATTTGATTGAAATTTTTTTCGTCACTCAAAATGGTCTCATGGGAACAGCAATGCGCGGGCGGCGCCCAAAAAAGCGTTTGGGAAAAAAAAATTTCTATGGTTAT